TTTTTTTCATTATGAACGGAAAAATTCTATGTTAATTTATGTTATATATACGGTATCCGTGTAGTTGGTAAAGATGTCACATACGTAAAGCCTGGAGATCATGTTATTACTACGTACATTCCACGTTGTGGTAAATGTGTATATTGTAATAACAATAGCACTGTTGTTCGTACCAATTTTTGTCAAATGTTTCTCAATCAGGTGCGTGTTATTTGTTATTAAGATACGACCGAACGATTGATCAAGCTTTCACGTAAAAATTAATTTTTCCGCGCATTTTTTTTCATACCAATTGATAATATAGTTGGATACTATCATGGAAATGAAAGAGTTGACGATAATAAATTGCCACCATTTGGTCAAAAAATAGCATCAAGAATTCAAGACACCTTTAATAATGCAATTGCTGTTGTAGTATGTTTATTAATTATATAATTATTTATGGTTAGTGATTTGTGATTTATGATTTATTCATTTACTTTTGAAATTTCTTTAGGTTCAGAATATAAAACTATCACCAGAAAAACCAGAAATAGCAATTCTGGTAATTATTAGAGTTTTATATTAACCAAGAGTTTCTACCCATAATTAACTTTAATTTTTAAATTAGCCATATATTTTTAAAGAAAATCAGTGGCGTCCTGATAATAAAGCAATTTCTACGAAAACAACGGAGCCTATATTTAAATTTGAAAATTCAGATGTGGCTAATTTGACAGCTGAATCAATTCTTGCAAAACATTTTGAACATTTATATGACTTTGATGAACATTTAGAAAATATAGAATTGGATTGGTTAACTAATACAAAAGTTACACAGTTAATTGATAATGGAACTAAAAAAAATAAATAATTTTTGCCTCAAGTGTGTTTTTAATGTTTAAAAACAAAATAATGCCAATTCATTCGTTACATTTATTTTTCATTCCATTGATATTCACAATCATGATTGCAACATTTATAAAATATTGACATTGGTTCATCAGATGAACGTGTTTGAATCTGCATGTAATAAGCACGCGGATGTTCACACTTTGGACATCTTGCTATATATTAACAAAAAAATAGATTAATTAAATGACACTTGTGTATATATGTGTGCACCATGTATTTATTTATGTGTATATATTGACCTTCTGTCGAATCTACATTCTTCCAGCCCTCTTCACCGCCAAGCACATCATCAACTTCTTTCCGTTTTAAAGTAGTTCGATTTTTATACTATGGACAAAAAAAAAATTTAAGTCAAGGAAACAAGAAATGTTTTCTCATAAACAACAAACCTCTTTGGCACCAATAGGAAAAACATATGGACACGTTTGGCAAAAAAAGGATTGTTCACCCCTTGTATGATGTTGAATTAAAAGAAGATTACCACAACAAGGACAAAAAAGCATTTTTAAAAAATTATATATTGACAATTCATGTGACACTCATATGACTATAATTTATTTTTAAAAATTGTTCAACATAATAAATAATACATAATTTTATCATTCTTGCAATTTTACATAATTGGCTTCAGATATTTTTTTTTGAAAAAAATGTATATTAGTAAAACATTATTTTTGTGTGTTTATTTGTACCTTTACAATATTTATATTTTTTTTTTACCTGGAAATAATCCAACTGTTCCGTCTGAAGCAGTACCTTGCCACCAATCTTCAGAGACAAATTCAATATTAGTAATAAGATCACCTTCAACAAAAGAGATTTCATTAGATTCACCCGCTTCATAAACATACTGCGCAATTGCTGAATACATAGATGATTGTACGTTTTGTCCATTTTCATCTATAGCATCTTGCTGTTCTGCATCCTATATATGTTGCATTTAGATTTTTACAATAAAGCTTTATACATTTATAATTAAAATTTAAATTACTTGCAGACTTACTGGTTTTCGTATGAATTCTTGCACAGGCTCTGGGTCATCCTCAATAACTTCAACATAATTTGCTATAATATAAAATTGAAAAAAATAGATACGGTGATTAATTAAAAATGCCTTATAAACACACCAAATTTCCCCAAACAAAATACAAACTATAATACCTGGAAATAATCCTGATCTAGTTTCATCTTCACTTACTCCTTGCCACCATCCTTCATCTAACTTAAGAATATCTTTAATGATTTCACCTTCAAATAGTGTCATCTCATTCGAATCATCTGATAATAAAAAGGATTGATGTAAACAAATAAGAATTTTAGAATTAAAATTTCAATTTTTTAAAAAAACTAAAAATGAAAATACCTGCATCATAAGAAAAAAGAACCCGTGCTCTAAATGAGGATGTTGAATTAATGTCTTCCTCATCAGCAGAAGCAATAATGTCAGTTACTGTTTCTGATTTTGGTGCCTAGAACATTAACAAAGAAGTTAGCAAATATTCATTTTCAAGATTACTTTTTTTAAATATTATTACTTGAGAATTTTCCTGTTCCTCCCTTCTAAAGATTTCTTCAGCCTAAAAATTAATAAAACTTTAAACTTTAATGAGTTTGGATAAAAATTTTAAAAAATTTAACAGACCTTTTTTCTTTGATGTTCCTGTTCCTGTTTTTCCTTCAATGCTTGCTCTTCTAATTCTTTTTGAATTCTTAATCTTTCCTTGTGTTCATTCTCTTCTCTTTCAATGTCCTCTTTTTCTTTAGCTAACCTTAAATTAATAATTTCCTCCTCTTGTTGTCGTTTCTGTTCTTCTTCTTTATGTGCTAATCTTTCACGTTCTTGACGTTCATGAAGTTTATGCTCTTCATGTGCTAATCTCTCACGTTCTTGCTGTTCGTGTTTCTCGCGTTCTTCTTTTTCGCGATCCTCACGTAATTTCTCAGCTTTAAGCTCTGCCATACTGGGGATTTTTTCTTCTTCTGCAGTAGTTGTCCAAGTTGTACGTGTAGCAAGAGGTTTTGGCTTTGGAAGCTGTACTGGTTGATATACTGAAGACTATATTAAAATAATAATAATTGGATTGCATTATAATATAATCACATAGAATAGCTTATCAAAAAAGAAAATATATCTTTTTTTTTGAAATTAATATATACCACAGGTTTTATTTCATCTCGAGGCGCCTTTCTTTGTAAAGCAGTAATATCAGGTATTTTCTCAGGTTGATAGACTGAATGCTTAATATAATGATATTTATTTTTTAACTATAAATAATTGAAATAATTTAAGGCTGACCATTTAACGTACCACTGGTAAGATAGGCTCTCCTTTTTTTGGTGGACGTTTATCAATGTTTATTGAATATTTGGATCCACCACTTTCATTGATACGTTTCATAATGTATGCAGGATCAACATCAGCCTAATTTATATCGTTTTAATAATATTAGTATTATCATTCTATAATATCTCCTGTAAATTTGTATTAATCTATTTACCTCAGATCTGGCAGTGATTTGAATATGATATCCCTATGAAATTACGAATATAAATCATTATTATTGAAAATCAATTTTTAAATTTGATTATTAAAAAGTCCAACCTTTAAAAATTTTGTTACATCATTAAAATGCGAATTAAATAAACCTTTCTTTGATTCAGGCACACCTTCACCACACTAACTTTGTCCATTATTGTATCAGATAAACAAAATATAAATGTTATTTCAACCAATTCTCAAAGTAAAAATTAACTAATTTAATACAAACTCACCCATCCTATAAGAATTAATTTGGGCAGCTCTGTATTAGGATCTATTACTCTTACAAAAGCGTACTGAATCTTTCCGTCATCAAATTCTTCTTGCAACTCATCAAGATCACCTCCTAAAATGTAATTATAATTATTAACTACCAACTAATAAAAGATAATATAATAATTTGTATAACTTAAATTATCACAAAATCACCTCCAGTTTCTATGACCTTCAAATCATTTCCTCCTTTATCATACCCATAAACAACCCAAGTTGTATTTTTATCTCCTGTAAGTACTGCTTGATATGTTGAAAAAAGAGCTTTAGAATGAGTTCCTAAATTAAGATTTATGCTCATTTTTATATACAAGTATATTTTAAAAAATACTGTCAGAAAATACGTGTTTAGGAATGAGGGAGGGGCTTCCAAAGTTTCACACATTAATATTTATAACAATAACTACAGAGTCAAAAGGGGGATTGGCCCTTATATTATATCACGTATTCCTGGCTCTTCCCTAAATTGATTGGCACATAATTGTCTATAAAAACCCTTGTACGATCCAAATCTTGTTTCAAAGATACAACGATTCAAGAATGTAAATAACAAACTATAATAGGTTCGAAAAGAAAATGAATTCAATTTATTAAATTCAAATTAAGAAATGATCAACTCGCACTCAAAAAATAAAGGTTTCAGATTTAAAAATTTAAAAATTTAAAAATATGCATGTTGAGTGTAACTTCTGAACTTTGGAATTTATTTTATTTACATTCTTTAAAATTTCATAATTTAAAAAAAAAAACCCAAAATTTTCATCATAAGTAAATTATGACAAATATTTTCATAAATAATCAAAATAGTCTACACTATTAAAAAAACCCCCCAAGGTTAATTAAATTTATTATATTGTTATAGACATTTTACTTTAATAATAATCTTTTTTAAATTTAACGTCATCTTCCCTTTTTTCCCCTTTTTAGAAATAAAATAAAATAAAAAAAAGGTGCCGATTCTTTTGAATTCTGTATCCTAATTTTTAATTTAAATTCTTTCATGATAAGAAAATATACCAATTTAATATCAATAAAAAAATTTTTTTTCTCCTTAACTTTTAAAATTTCTTAAAGAACCTAAAAATCGAGATTAAACAAAAAGAGCAACCGTTACAACAGCCCCAACTGCTGTTTAATAATAGAAAAAAAGAGAGAGGAAGCACTCTTTGTGAGAAAAACCGCACATTTTTTTTTATTTCTTTTGAAAATTATCAGTCGCTGTGCGGCTCCGACAAGTATTCAATTCGGTAGGTGGTGTGGTTAGTAGTTCACATTCTCAAATAAACAAAATTTGGAGCTCGATAACTGGAAAAGATCGAAAAAAAATAATGGCTGAGGATGATGAAAGCCATGTAGACTCTCACGAATCTTTATCTTCATCTGTTATAAATAATGATCTCGATGTATCTTCAAATCATGATGAAAATATAACAATTGAAGATGATAAAATCAATAACGTCAGCATAATAATTGCTTCTGATAGAAACAGTTTTGTAAAAAGATATGGAACTTATGATTTAAATCGGTCTAAAGACGTTGATTCCACTGCTACCTTTTCGGATTCTGCACAGGCTGCAAATTTCTCATCATCATCATTAATTAATCATTCATTATCTAAATTGACATTTCAACAACACCAAACTTCTGTTAATAAAAATTCATCTTCAATATCTAAAAAATCTGAATCATCAACTAAAATATTATCTCCAATTAATACGTCAAATTTCGACAATACTATTACCACGAATCTTGATGATATCCCTCAATCACCTTATGGTGGCATAAAAGTTACAACTGTTGTAGAGGTATTAAATAGTCCTATAAAAAATGAATTTGAAAACGAAGTTGCTTCTTCCACTACTCCCAAAGTCAATCAATTTCGCACTTCAACTTCTTCAACAAAAAGTAAAAAAAGAAATTCTCGTCCTGAAAATATTTATACTTCAGTTAACGATTTGCTTGTTAGTAATGGGGAACGTAAAAGAGGTAATATTTCACCACCACCTCCAAAACCATCAACTCCATCACCGCCACCACCTTTACCACAATTGCGCTCTAAACAACATATTGAATTTGTCAGCACCAAATCAAATGTTAAACCAAATTTATATTTACAAAAACAATCACCAAAAAAAAAATTTATGTATTCTAACAATGCGATGGTTGATGATTCAAAACCACAACAAAAATTAAAAAAAAATGCCTCTATGGCACCAGTTAAAAATCTTAAAATTGGAAATAAGAGAAAAGGAATTTTGGATAAACAAAAAGAAATCATTATTCCTAAAGAAATGGCTTTTATCGATCCAAAATTGTTGACTCATGGTAATCTTGTTAGAATTCCATCAAATCGTAGATTAAAACGCATCAATAGTAACATACACAGGAAAAAAATACCAAAAAATATGGAATATGCACCAACTTCAAACCCAACCCATTCCAATGATCCTACTGATATAGATGCTGATCTTCCGCAAAAAAACTCGGCTTATCCATGGTTGCCAGAACTTTCTAAACCTCCCCAATTGCTTCACGCTTCACTTGTACCTTTACCTCATTGTTCTACGAGTTCTTCCCTAATTTCAAATGTAAACAATACTTTAATGATGACAAATACTTCAACAGAAGAAAACAATAAAAATAACATCGGCAGCAGCGACAACAATAACACAAATTGTAATTCGAAAATGTTAACAATTGATCAAAAACATAATTCAAAGATTTCGACATCTAATTTTCTTTCTCGTAAAAATTCTTTGAGAAAACGTACATCTTTAATACAATCATCTAATCGAGCATCACTTATCTTTAGACGTCAACTTCTAGAAGAGAGTATAATGATGTCATTTGGTGGCTATAATTATATGCTAAGTAATAATAATAATAATAATAATAACGCTAATATTAATATTAAACAACCTTCATCACTACAAAAATTACCAATAAGGAAAAAAACAAAAAAAGGCAGTAATGCTAAAGTAGAAGACAGGGAAACGAGAAGAGAAAGAAGGAGAAAAGAAAAGGAGGCAAAAGGATTATTAAATTGTACATCAAATATAAATAATACCGGCTCAATAAATTATGATTCGATCAATTTAACCAAAGAAGAATATCATCATAACAAGAAAGAACAAATATTCATGGGACCTCAACCACCACCAAGAAGATCACCAGCAGATAATGTTATGAATGGAACGCGAGATTATTTCCAGCAACTACAACCACAACAACCAAAACAAAAATTAAATAATACTATATCATTGTTGTTATTATCATCACCAATTGATAGAAGAGATTTTAACAATAGTAATGATAATGATTATAATAATAATTTTATTATTGGGAATGGTAATCATGATAAAGATACGATTATGTCAACAATTGAACCAACTTTTCCAACCCATTTGCTTAGTTCTACACCATACTCTGATAATCATTCATCGACTAATAAAAAATTAAAATTTCCACATACACTGCCACTGGGATCATTGCCCACAACCTCCAAAACTAATCAACAACAATCTTTGGGAAAAGAAGAATTTGATGACGAGCTTTATTCAAATAATAATAAAGTATTACCTTCAATTGCAAATAAACCGCAAAAGATTAATATAAATATTCTTGGAGGTCTTTTTAATAAGCAAAATCCAAAGGAAACTAGTGCTAATCAACAACAATCACTACAAAATCATCACCACCAATCGGTTTCTACATCAATTACATCAACACAATTACCTCTATCACCTTTATCACCAACAACTCCACTTCCAACAAAATCACATTTTATATCACAGAAAACCTCACCTCCACAATCGCCACCATTAAGTCCATCAAAATCTTCACGTTTACCGACTCAATTACCCAGAGTAGGAAAACAACGTCATATGAACGAAGTTCTTCAACATTCTTCAAACTCAAAGAAAATAAGAAAAAGAGAACAATCTGAAGTAGGTACCGATACAACTCATATAATTAGTAATAATACAGCAAATCGCTCAGTAGGAAAGATAAAAATTTTAAAAATTGACAATGACAACAATAGCAATGCTTTATCTTCCACCACATCGTCCTTCTCAAATTCTACCACAAACTCAAATGATTTCAATTCTTTAATGAATAATAATCACGAAAGAAAAACCCTCATTAATATGAAAGTGCCTTCAACATACATTCACAAAGGTCATTTTTGCCAAGATTCATATAACGGAATTATTTTTGGAAATAGAGAAAGCATTAACAATAATAGCGATAATTACGATCGAAATTCTGTCGATTCAGCAGATAAAATTTCATTAGTCGACAGAATTTGTTCATTACAGACCTGAAGAAAAAGAACTCGGAAAACCATGTGCTTTGACATCCGATGAATGCTTCTTTTTTATATATAAAATTTTTCTTTTTTAGATATATTACATATTTTTTTGTATATAAATACATAGAACTAGCACAGTTTTTTGTTTTATTTTCTTGTATCATTACGATCATATTATTATTAATAATTGTAACTCGTTCTTCTATTTAACTTTTTGTTTGATTATTTGGAATGGTGTGTGGAAAATCAATTGGTGATTGATTTTGTGTATAAAAGAATAAATGAGGTGTTCACCATAAAATAATAAATATTTTGATTATATATAATTACAAAATACCCGTTAAAAGGTCAACGTAGCTTAAAGGTAGAGCCAGTCCTTGTAAACTGAAGGTCGGTGATTCAACCGTCTTTCGGCTTACGTGAAAAAAAATCTCTCATGCAAAAAAAATATAATAAATATGCTTAAATTATTATATCATCATTATCATGATTATCATAAACTACCAAGATAAATCCAAATCTGATCCACTACTATTCAACCTATATATCTTATCAATATAATTATCAGCCTCATTCATTAATCTTTCTAGATTAAATCTTGAAATAGCCCTTGCTCTTGCATTTCTATATACAGGATCCATTGACAACATATTATCTTTTGTTTCTAATCTTTTAAAATGATCCACAAAAATCTTTCGTAAGTTTGAATCTCTAAGTACTGCAATTCTTTGCAGGTTCACCGCTTTTGCTCGATAGATTATAGCTTCTTGTCTTTTAGCTACATCTTTCAAAATTTCATTAGTTGATCTTTCGTTTGTTTTATCAATTAATATGATTGCTAAAAATAAAGATGAAAAAGCTAAACGTCGGTATAAGTCCATTGTACAATATAAAAATTCTGTGTTTCCATTTTGTTTAACATCAGCTTGGCTGAATGTATAAAATTCAACTACACCACATCCTACAAGAAATATAACTCCATAAACCCTCCAGTGTGATTTTCGCTTCAACATAGTTACTAAGCCTAATACAAATACCACTACCACATACGACCAGCCAATTGTAGGAAATATATAATACAAATAGTCTGTTGGTTCTTTGCAATAAGTACACTCTAATAATGCTTCTTCGCCATATGTTGCATAAATCATACGATTTCCAATTGTGTTTGGAAGTCTGAAAAATTCATATACCACTAGAAAAACATTTAAGACAGCTTTGTAAAGATGCCTTTTTTGAATATAGTGATGCTGTTAATTCAAATGTAGAGGTCAAGAAATCCGTTTACGTTTTACAATGAAAAATTACTGAAAACTTATTAAGAAATTGTAGAAACCAGCAGCGTATGGAATCTGCAAGATAATAGGGACCCAATCTCATATAACCCGTTTTCAAGTTCTTGCTATGGTGAGAGAATCCCCCAATTAACTTCAAATAAATGAAATTACACATATATGAAAGAATATGTATGAGGTGTTGTTGGTCGGGAATAAAAACATGTTTGGAGAAAAAGAAAATACATTAGAGAGAGCACAGCCATACCTGAAATAGATACTGCTCAGAACATTCATGGAATTCCGAGTCCTCAAAAATCGGCAGTTGCGAACAAAAGAACATTGGCAAGCTAGATACTGCTGAAAAGAGTTATGTGAATTCACACTTCAGAAAAGGGGCTCGAAATAAACTACAATTAATGTCATCATCATCACAATCTCAACGACCTCAATAATTATCAACTGTCTCACAACTCGATGGATATTGCACAACTGTGACAGCCATTATATCTCTTGCTCTCCCCAATCTTCACATTCTCACCCACTTGAATTCACAAAGACACATTCATTTATCCTGCCAATTATGTTAATTGGTACAGCTGGTACAAGAGTTAATTCTCGCATAAAAGGACATGCTCGTAGAAGTTGTGGTAAAATGAGGTGATGAAAATATAACAATTGAAGATGATAAAATCAATAACGTCAGCATAATAATTGCTTCTGATAGAAACAGTTTTGTAAAAAGATATGGAACTTATGATTTAAATCGGTCTAAAGACGTTGATTCCACTGCTACCTTTTCGGATTCTGCACAGGCTGCAAATTTCTCATCATCATCATTAATTAATCATTCATTATCTAAATTGACATTTCAACAACACCAAACTTCTGTTAATAAAAATTCATCTTCAATATCTAAAAAATCTGAATCATCAACTAAAATATTATCTCCAATTAATACGTCAAATTTCGACAATACTATTACCACGAATCTTGATGATATCCCTCAATCACCTTATGGTGGCATAAAAGTTACAACTGTTGTAGAGGTATTAAATAGTCCTATAAAAAATGAATTTGAAAACGAAGTTGCTTCTTCCACTACTCCCAAAGTCAATCAATTTCGCACTTCAACTTCTTCAACAAAAAGTAAAAAAAGAAATTCTCGTCCTGAAAATATTTATACTTCAGTTAACGATTTGCTTGTTAGTAATGGGGAACGTAAAAGAGGTAATATTTCACCACCACCTCCAAAACCATCAACTCCATCACCGCCACCACCTTTACCACAATTGCGCTCTAAACAACATATTGAATTTGTCAGCACCAAATCAAATGTTAAACCAAATTTATATTTACAAAAACAATCACCAAAAAAAAAATTTATGTATTCTAACAATGCGATGGTTGATGATTCAAAACCACAACAAAAATTAAAAAAAAATGCCTCTATGGCACCAGTTAAAAATCTTAAAATTGGAAATAAGAGAAAAGGAATTTTGGATAAACAAAAAGAAATCATTATTCCTAAAGAAATGGCTTTTATCGATTGATGAAAATATAACAATTGAAGATGATAAAATCAATAACGTCAGCATAATAATTGCTTCTGATAGAAACAGTTTTGTAAAAAGATATGGAACTTATGATTTAAATCGGTCTAAAGACGTTGATTCCACTGCTACCTTTTCGGATTCTGCACAGGCTGCAAATTTCTCATCATCATCATTAATTAATCATTCATTATCTAAATTGACATTTCAACAACACCAAACTTCTGTTAATAAAAATTCATCTTCAATATCTAAAAAATCTGAATCATCAACTAAAATATTATCTCCAATTAATACGTCAAATTTCGACAATACTATTACCACGAATCTTGATGATATCCCTCAATCACCTTATGGTGGCATAAAAGTTACAACTGTTGTAGAGGTATTAAATAGTCCTATAAAAAATGAATTTGAAAACGAAGTTGCTTCTTCCACTACTCCCAAAGTCAATCAATTTCGCACTTCAACTTCTTCAACAAAAAGTAAAAAAAGAAATTCTCGTCCTGAAAATATTTATACTTCAGTTAACGATTTGCTTGTTAGTAATGGGGAACGTAAAAGAGGTAATATTTCACCACCACCTCCAAAACCATCAACTCCATCACCGCCACCACCTTTACCACAATTGCGCTCTAAACAACATATTGAATTTGTCAGCACCAAATCAAATGTTAAACCAAATTTATATTTACAAAAACAATCACCAAAAAAAAAATTTATGTATTCTAACAATGCGATGGTTGATGATTCAAAACCACAACAAAAATTAAAAAAAAATGCCTCTATGGCACCAGTTAAAAATCTTAAAATTGGAAATAAGAGAAAAGGAATTTTGGATAAACAAAAAGAAATCATTATTCCTAAAGAAATGGCTTTTATCGATCCAAAATTGTTGACTCATGGTAATCTTGTTAGAATTCCATCAAATCGTAGATTAAAACGCATCAATAGTAACATACACAGGAAAAAAATACCAAAAAATATGGAATATGCACCAACTTCAAACCCAACCCATTCCAATGATCCTACTGATATAGATGCTGATCTTCCGCAAAAAAACTCGGCTTATCCATGGTTGCCAGAACTTTCTAAACCTCCCCAATTGCTTCACGCTTCACTTGTACCTTTACCTCATTGTTCTACGAGTTCTTCCCTAATTTCAAATGTAAACAATACTTTAATGATGACAAATACTTCAACAGAAGAAAACAATAAAAATAACATCGGCAGCAGCGACAACAATAACACAAATTGTAATTCGAAAATGTTAACAATTGATCAAAAACATAATTCAAAGATTTCGACATCTAATTTTCTTTCTCGTAAAAATTCTTTGAGAAAACGTACATCTTTAATACAATCATCTAATCGAGCATCACTTATCTTTAGACGTCAACTTCTAGAAGAGAGTATAATGATGTCATTTGGTGGCTATAATTATATGCTAAGTAATAATAATAATAATAATAATAACGCTAATATTAATATTAAACAACCTTCATCACTACAAAAATTACCAATAAGGAAAAAAACAAAAAAAGGCAGTAATGCTAAAGTAGAAGACAGGGAAACGAGAAGAGAAAGAAGGAGAAAAGAAAAGGAGGCAAAAGGATTATTAAATTGTACATCAAATATAAATAATACCGGCTCAATAAATTATGATTCGATCAATTTAACCAAAGAAGAATATCATCATAACAAGAAAGAACAAATATTCATGGGACCTCAACCACCACCAAGAAGATCACCAGCAGATAATGTTATGAATGGAACGCGAGATTATTTCCAGCAACTACAACCACAACAACCAAAACAAAAATTAAATAATACTATATCATTGTTGTTATTATCATCACCAATTGATAGAAGAGATTTTAACAATAGTAATGATAATGATTATAATAATAATTTTATTATTGGGAATGGTAATCATGATAAAGATACGATTATGTCAACAATTGAACCAACTTTTCCAACCCATTTGCTTAGTTCTACACCATACTCTGATAATCATTCATCGACTAATAAAAAATTAAAATTTCCACATACACTGCCACTGGGATCATTGCCCACAACCTCCAAAACTAATCAACAACAATCTTTGGGAAAAGAAGAATTTGATGACGAGCTTTATTCAAATAATAATAAAGTATTACCTTCAATTGCAAATAAACCGCAAAAGATTAATATAAATATTCTTGGAGGTCTTTTTAATAAGCAAAATCCAAAGGAAACTAGTGCTAATCAACAACAATCACTACAAAATCATCACCACCAATCGGTTTCTACATCAATTACATCAACACAATTACCTCTATCACCTTTATCACCAACAACTCCACTTCCAACAAAATCACATTTTATATCACAGAAAACCTCACCTCCACAATCGCCACCATTAAGTCCATCAAAATCTTCACGTTTACCGACTCAATTACCCAGAGTAGGAAAACAACGTCATATGAACGAAGTTCTTCAACATTCTTCAAACTCAAAGAAAATAAGAAAAAGAGAACAATCTGAAGTAGGTACCGATACAACTCATATAATTAGTAATAATACAGCAAATCGCTCAGTAGGAAAGATAAAAATTTTAAAAATTGACAATGACAACAATAGCAATGCTTTATCTTCCACCACATCGTCCTTCTCAAATTCTACCACAAACTCAAATGATTTCAATTCTTTAATGAATAATAATCACGAAAGAAAAACCCTCATTAATATGAAAGTGCCTTCAACATACATTCACAAAGGTCATTTTTGCCAAGATTCATATAACGGAATTATTTTTGGAAATAGAGAAAGCATTAACAATAATAGCGATAATTACGATCGAAATTCTGTCGATTCAGCAGATAAAATTTCATTAGTCGACAGAATTTGTTCATTACAGACCTGAAGAAAAAGAACTCGGAAAACCATGTGCTTTGACATCCGATGAATGCTTCTTTTTTATATATAAAATTTTTCTTTTTTAGATATATTACATATTTTTTTGTATATAAATACATAGAACTAGCACAGTTTTTTGTTTTATTTTCTTGTATCATTACGATCATATTATTATTAATAATTGTAACTCGTTCTTCTATTTAACTTTTTGTTTGATTATTTGGAATGGTGTGTGGAAAATCAATTGGTGATTGATTTTGTGTATAAAAGAATAAATGAGGTGTTCACCATAAAATAATAAATATTTTGATTATATATAATTACAAAATACCCGTTAAAAGGTCAACGTAGCTTAAAGGTAGAGCCAGTCCTTGTAAACTGAAGGTCGGTGATTCAACCGTCTTTCGGCTTACGTGAAAAAAAATCTCTCATGCAAAAAAAATATAATAAATATGCTTAAATTATTATATCATCATTATCATGATTATCATAAACTACCAAGATAAATCCAAATCTGATCCACTACTATTCAACCTATATATCTTATCAATATAATTATCAGCCTCATTCATTAATCTTTCTAGATTAAATCTTGAAATAGCCCTTGCTCTTGCATTTCTATATACAGGATCCATTGACAACATATTATCTTTTGTTTCTAATCTTTTAAAATGATCCACAAAAATCTTTCGTAAGTTTGAATCTCTAAGTACTGCAATTCTTTGCAGGTTCACCGCTTTTGCTCGATAGATTATAGCTTCTTGTCTTTTAGCTACATCTTTCAAAATTTCATTAGTTGATCTTTCGTTTGTTTTATCAATTAATATGATTGCTAAAAATAAAGATGAAAAAGCTAAACGTCGGTATAAGTCCATTGTACAATATAAAAATTCTGTGTTTCCATTTTGTTTAACATCAGCTTGGCTGAATGTATAAAATTCAACTACACCACATCCTACAAGAAATATAACTCCATAAACCCTCCAGTGTGATTTTCGCTTCAACATAGTTACTAAGCCTAATACAAATACCACTACCACATACGACCAGCCAATTGTAGGAAATATATAATACAAATAGTCTGTTGGTTCTTTGCAATAAGTACACTCTAATAATGCTTCTTCGCCATATGTTGCATAAATCATACGATTTCCAATTGATTTTAATTTTTCTAAGAGAAGTTCTTCAACTTCTGATAATTCTGATTTGTTTTGTAAAAGTATTGTTCTGATAAGACTTGTAGAAGAGCCTAATAATGGAAGCCCTGTTTCTCTAAATATGTTTGGTGGTTTTGACCAAAATATATAATAAATTTGTGTTGAAAAGGTTGAAAGAATAAGGAAATAAATAAATTGGTCCTGCGATGTTTTTTTTTGTTGGTTCTTTATGTTTGATTCTTGTGAGCGGGAATAATTACGTAACTTTTCAATTATAAAAGGTAATAAAACAACTAGTACTAAACTTATAATATTAAAGTTAGCCATTTATTTTGGGAAGATATTTTACAAACATGTGTGTCACAAACTGTAATGAGAAAAATAGTTAAATATATAGTAAAGGGAATCTGTTCAATTTAGAATTATATTAAAAAAAAGTGACTTTTTTAAATTTCCTCGACCAGTAGAGACTCATTGTATCTTTAATAAATTATTCTTCCAATGCATAGAACTTGTGTTTATTGTTGATAATGAAAAAGGAAGATCTTATAAGGAGAGAATGGTAAAAGCACCAGCAGTTGCAACGTAAACGGAGGCATTTGCATCTCTGAACTTAACAAGCGGTAAAATTAATTACCAACTACTTCGTTAAATCTCCCTGACTGGGAGAGACACCCATTGGATCCTTTCGATATTGAGAGTGTGTTGAAGAAGTGTTAATGGTTTGCGTAGGTATATGGGTTCTTGAGAAGGGTGGTAAAGTGGAATGGGAGGCTGAGAGCAATATTGATGCAATGGCAGTTTCTAATGAGGACACCGATGCTTTATAGTGTAGCCACACTTGTGAAATACATGATTGGTTGATACACTCAACAGCACCGTGTACCTTGACACTAGTGATCTTGCCATTGATAATTCTACGGGGTCGTGCAAGCCTAGTCTGTTGGAAGCACTATACACAATTTTGTGAAATTAGTCATTCCAAATGCAATATCTTCTATGATGCTCCCTCATTTTACCACAACTTCTACGAGCATGTCCTTTTATGCGAGAATTAACTCTTGTACCAGCTGTACCAATTAACATAATTGGCAGGATAAATGAATGTGTCTTTGTGAATTCAAGTGGGTGAGAATGTGAAGATTGGGGAGAGCAAGAGATATAATGGCTGTCACAGTTGTGCAATATCCATCGAGTTGTGAGACAGTTGATAATTATTGAGGTCGTTGAGATTGTGATGATGATGACATTAATTGTAGTTTATTTCGAGCCCCTTTTCTGAAGTGTGAATTCACATAACTCTTTTCAGCAGTATCTAGCTTGCCAATGTTCTTTTGTTCGCAACTGCCGATTTTTGAGGACTCGGAATTCCATGAATGTTCTGAGCAGTATCTATTTCAGGTATGGCTGTGCTCTCTCTAATGTATTTTCTTTTTCTCCAAACATGTTTTTATTCCCGACCAACAACACCTCATACATATTCTTTCATATATGTGTAATTTCATTTATTTGAAGTTAATTGGGGGATTCTCTCACCATAGCAAGAACTTGAAAACGGGTTATATGAGATTGGGTCCCTATTATCTTGCAGATTCCATACGCTGCTGGTTTCTACAATTTCTTAATAAGTTTTCAGTAATTTTTCATTGTAAAACGTAAACGGATTTCTTGACCTCTACATTTGAATTAACAGCATCACTATATTCAAAAAAGGCATCTTTACAAAGCTGTCTTAAATGTTTTTCTAGTGGTATATGAATTTTTCAGACTTCCAAACACAATGCTTCAAGATAAGTTTTATATTGTTTACTTTATTTTCTGTGACTGTGTAAACTTGGATTGCTTTTTTCTCATCAAATTTTGTTATCTAATTGTTTCTGCCATTTAGGAATGACTGTAGAATCACCTTCTTTTTCTTCATACAACTAGAAACAGCATGAACACTAACATAATAATGGTAAGAGTAAGTCTTTATCTGCAACAAAAAAATTTCAGTTATAAATATTACCCTTATGAAAACTTAAAGCCATGCTTATGATCAATACCTTTTATTTTCTCTAGATCAAAGAATGCATTGAAAATTTGCTTTCTTTGCTCTCTTCTTTGTAGTCTTACTTACTTCCATCGCTAATAATTTCTCTTTCACATAAAACTTTTGCTTTTCTTTTGAGCAAAATACTCCATAGATTCTCTGAAATTAAGATCAAACCATGGATTGGTAAAGAAGATATCCGAGGAACAATTTTTCTACAAAACTGGTGATAACTGGTGGTATGAAAAATTGAATTTGTAATAAGTACTATAGATACTTGTAATGTGGTGGATCTTTTTTAGGTATATATTGACGTAAGATGATTTGCCAGAACTTGTTGATAAATGAAAAGATTTGGGAGTTGACAAAAGTTTGATTAGGTTATAATTCGTTTCCAGCAATGTATGCAAGATATGCTACAATTTGACATTCATACTGTGTGATATTTGCACACTCCTGAATATACTGAAAACGTTGAGCTGGGCCATAGTACCTAGACACACTAAAATATTGGGAATGCAGTTTTTGTAGATGGTCTTGAGTAAGGATATGTACTATATTATCCTTTTACCTTTTATCTTTTTTATCAAGGTAAAGTGTCGGATGTTTTGAGATGATCAAGAGCTGATGCAATTAACAGCAAAGTCTCATAATTCAAAATTGACTGGAAGAAGGGTCTTTATGTCAAATGTATAATACACATTATCATGGGGATAAAGAATGTTGCTACTGGAATTCTACAAAACAAAAGATGGATAGTTTTTTTTTAAAAAAAAAAATCATGCAAGTTTGAGATACTCACAATGTTAATAGTTTTTTGCTCACATTCCTAACATTATATCTTTATATCTGAAAATTGACTTTGTTGTTTCTCAGCAATTGATAAGGAACTCAGAATTTTTTTACATAATTAAAAAATCTTTTCGAAATATTAAGAGTGTTGTCAATTTTTATTTTCATCATTATTACTTCATCATTTTCGCCATCATTATTCTTCTCAGGGTTGATATCATTATGTATCACATTTTCCTTCAATAGTTCTCAAATTCCAAGCCTGATAAAATTCTGCTATAATCACTTTCAATGTTAAGTTCTATCAGATTAAAATCCCTGCTTTTGTTAAGTTCGCTCTCTTAATAGCTTCTTTCATTGTACCTTTGATAATTTCCTTTGAATTTTTTACCTTGCATTCAATAGTTTTTTTCAAGATATTAGAACTAGGATGAAAGTTGGTAAATAGATATAATAATATAATTGAAGAACATCAGACACTTATCAGGCAGGTTTTAAATATGCAATGCTCAAGTCATCAATCACTTATGTGTTTCTTTGCTTTTCCTTGTTTCACCTTATTCCCTGAACTGTGCTATGGGAACTGGATTGTTATATAAAAAACTAAGGTTGTTTTTTTGGATGTTTAGAGGCTGTCAGAACGAGACATTCACCAACTTCATTATATGAATTAATGATGTGGAAAGCAATAGATTTACTTGGTATTTATTGCACCATCAATTGGTGTGAAGAGCAATCAATGCCTTTGATCTTGGTGAAAAAAAATATATTGAGATTCTAAGTTGACTATCCAATGTAACAAAAAAGCTGACATACTTAAAACATAAGTCAAAACATACTTAAATCAAAAAAGAAGATTCACTAATTATTTGCAAAATATGTATGAATATACTTATTTTACAATTAAAATATTCTTATTTTTCACAGTAATAGGAATGTAGATATCCTAATTACATACTTAAAGTATACCTTTGAATTTTAATAATTCTTAAAACATGCTTATTCTTTGATTTTGTAATTTACTTTATATATCCTTAAAACATACTTGAATTTGAAATACAAATAATAAAATTATTCTTTTTGCACCAAAGAATTGACCAATTGGTATTTTGACGATATAATCCTAAAGTTTGAACGTGGAAAGTAGAGAGGCTCTATGACCAGGTTTTAGGTCCAATTTCACTTCTTACTACAAATGACTAAATAACCAATGATTTATTTGATTAATTACACAACAAGGGTATTAGCATCAAGCAATGTGATGAAGGTCAGGGAGCAAAATCTTATTATAAAATTCCAGGCATTCTGATAAAATTTACCAATAAAAATTATGGAATAGGCCATTTTCCAACTACACATTTTTAATAGGAATATTAATACAAATTCTTTATCTGAATTATTCGTTTTAGTTTTATTTGAATTGTCCATTTTATTTGAATTATTCGTTTTATTTGAATTAATTGAATTATTTATTTGAATTATTCATTTTATTTGTCTTTTTTTCGTTTTATTCGTTTTATTCGTTTTATTCGTTTTATTCGTTTTTTTTTTGCAAGTTTGAGATACTCACAATGTTAATAGTTTTTTGCTCACATTCCTAACATTATATCTTTATATCTGAAAATTGACTTTGTTGTTTCTCAGCAATTGATAAGGAACTCAGAATTTTTTTACATAATTAAAAAATCTTTTCGAAATATTAAGAGTGTTGTCAATTTTTATTTTCATCATTATTACTTCATCATTTTCGCCATCATTATTCTTCTCAGGGTTGATATCATTATGTATCACATTTTCCTTCAATAGTTCTCAAATTCCAAGCCTGATAAAATTCTGCTATAATCACTTTCAATGTTAAGTTCTATCAGATTAAAATCCCTGCTTTTGTTAAGTTCGCTCTCTTAATAGCTTCTTTCATTGTACCTTTGATAATTTCCTTTGAATTTTTTACCTTGCATTCAATAGTTTTTTTCAAGATATTAGAACTAGGATGAAAGTTGGTAAATAGATATAATAATATAATTGAAGAACATCAGACACTTATCAGGCAGGTTTTAAATATGCAATGCTCAAGTCATCAATCACTTATGTGTTTCTTTGCTTTTCCTTGTTTCACCTTATTCCCTGAACTGTGCTATGGGAACTGGATTGTTATATAAAAAACTAAGGTTGTTTTTTTGGATGTTTAGAGGCTGTCAGAACGAGACATTCACCAACTTCATTATATGAATTAATGATGTGGAAAGCAATAGATTTACTTGGTATTTATTGCACCATCAATTGGTGTGAAGAGCAATCAATGCCTTTGATCTTGGTGAAAAAAAATATATTGAGATTCTAAGTTGACTATCCAATGTAACAAAAAAGCTGACATACTTAAAACATAAGTCAAAACATACTTAAATCAAAAAAGAAGATTCACTAATTATTTGCAAAATATGTATGAATATACTTATTTTACAATTAAAATATTCTTATTTTTCACAGTAATAGGAATGTAGATATCCTAATTACATACTTAAAGTATACCTTTGAATTTTAATAATTCTTAAAACATGCTTATTCTTTGATTTTGTAATTTACTTTATATATCCTTAAAACATACTTGAATTTGAAATACAAATAATAAAATTATTCTTTTTGCATCTAAAGAATTGACCAATCCAATTTCACTTCTGACTGATAAATGAATGTAGATGACTAAATAACTAATGATTTATTTTGATGGATTACACAACAAGGGTAGCATCAAACAAGGTGATGAAGACCAGGGTGCAAAATCCTATTAGGCATTCTGTTGCACATTTTAATACAGTCAGGGAGATTTCCAAATTTGGAAATCAATTCTAGAAATTTTTGTTGATCAATTCATATACGCTACAAATGAGTTTAGAAAACACTCCCCCGTTATGTTATGTCGCGTTTTTTTATATAAAACTTTAAAAAATAACTGTTAAATAATATTCTTTTGGATATATAGTTTCATAATCCCTGCTCATCCCCAAAGCTTTACAAAGTAGTTTTTTCAGAAATAAAACTTGAAATTGCGATTTTTTTTTTTTTTTTTCATAGAATCATATGTATATAAATTATAATGACAAATACAACACTCAAATCAAAAGATTTACCATGCTTATTTGAAAATCTTGTTGAGAGATATCAAAATACTCTTTTAGTTCAGTGTGAAACTAAGGAGAATCAGAAACAGCATTTTGCATCAGGAGAAAAATCAACTGAAAGAGCAAAACTTTTGGCTAAGTATTATTTTCATTAATTATTTAGAAAATTATTCTATTTGAAAAACATAATAATCAACTTGTTGCTAATAATTATTTTATTGAGCATTTAAAAAAGATAGGTAATTCAAGGTCATCATATATCATAGAAGAAAATGAATAAGAAAATTCATTATATATCATCCATTAATTCCATTTATTATGAACGTAAGAAATTTCAAATTTATTATATATATCCATTAATTATAGATGTAGGAAAATTCAAATTTATTTTACTTTCTCAATATTTTATATATATATTCATCCATTAATTCCATTTATTATGAACATAAGAAAATTCAAATTTATTTTACTTTCTCAATATTTTATATATATATTCATCCATTAATTCCATTTATTATGGATGTAAGAAAATTCAAATTTATTATATATATCCATTAACTACAGATGTAAGAAAATTCAAATTTATTTTACTTTCTCAATATTATACTGTATATATATATATTCATCCATTAAATTCCATTTATTATGAACATAAGAAAATTCAAATTATTATATACATCCATTAATTATAGACAAGAAAATTCAAATTTATTATATATATATATTCTATTTATTATGAACATAAGAAAAATTCAAATTCATTATCATAAAAAAATTCAAATTTATTATACATACATTCATCCATTAATTATAGATGTAAGAAAATTATATATATATTCATCCATTAATTCTATCTATTATGGATATAAATTTATCTTCCCAATAATTCATATATATATTCTTATTTATTAACTTTATTATAGTTTCAATAATATCAGAGCCTGGTATTTATTAATGTATGAAATTTATAATAGTCATGATGAACCAAGATTTTTTATTGAAGAAAAATATAGTAACTTATTATAATTTGAATTATTAATATATCAAGAAAACATGCTATATATTAATTCAAAAAACAGCATCCTTGATATTGCTTAATTCTAGGTATGCATGCATAATAGCTATAAATTCATATATTGTATGTAATTTAAAACTCAACGGGTATGCATTATTTTAATTTATATATGTAATTTAAAACTCAACGGGTTTAATTTATATATGAAAGGATCTGCATAAATTTAGCCAATCATTTTTTGTTTTGATTCTTTTTTAGAATTACACAATGAATCTAGAATGTTAATCATTACAGTATTTGGAAATTCCAAATTTGGAAATCTCCTTGACTGAATTAACGAAGAATTTAATATAAATCTTGAAAATTTAAAAAAAAAAAAAATTACATTATTTAAAGAACAATTCTAACATCAAAAAAAAAAACCCCCCATCACCAAACTCTAGTGATTGACTCATAGTGATGCTAATCATTCGACAATAAAAGGATTTGGCATTGTTTTTTTCTCCGTTTTCTATTTTCATCACCTTTAAACCTGTACCTAGACCTGTCTTATGTACTATGTAAAAAGTCATTCTACGTACCAAACTCAGATTCTAAGCATTTTTTCTTTTATTAATTACTATTACGCGCAATTAACAAAAAATATCAATACGCACCCCCTGTAGATGTGCCATTCACAGTAACTCTGATTTTTGTTCGCGCATAGTGTGCATAATGTTTATACTGTATATCATAGGGAGGGAATATAAGAAAGCAAATAGCGCATAATTTTTTTTAAAATGTCTGTTATGCATAACACACTATGCACAGCACATCACTAACTCTCTATACCAATACTGAACCGTCTATGTGTGTTTCAAACTCGGGCACTAAAGACAATTTGAGCGCGTTTGGATTTTTTTCTTTTTATGAAATGTATAATAAAAGGAGAAATAATAAAAAAGATAATGGTTTTAATTTCTAGAAAGTATATACAAATTAATTATTGAAATTTTTTTCCAATAAAAATTGTACATTTTTTCGACAGCATAAAATACTAAAACTTAATGACAATGCCATCATTTACCTTGTACTGTAAAAAATTTTTATTCCTTCATGGCTAAAATATCAGGAGAAAGATTAATCTTCAGACTATTTCTGGCCATCATCATATCCATTAAATTTTCTTTAGAATATTAAACGAATATACATTAATATATAAAAAATTTCTAAAAATAATATTAAAGGAATAATCAACAGTATATACATGTCTTGTTCATACCCTGATGAAAAGAACTTCATGCCATAATTTAACACCTGTATTTTACAAGAAGTTAAAATCGCAAATGTTGGGGGATTTCAATTTTATATTTTTTATAAAATAAAAAAAGGAAAACGCGTTAAAAAAAAATGGTTGCTTATTACCGGTAACAGTTTAGTATGGTGGTGTTGATGGCACAAAGCCCAATTGTTAAAGCTTATTGCTAAATTAATTACTCGAAATTTTAGTAAGACTTTCTGAAAAAATATAGGTCCCTCCCTGTAACGATAAGCTACGAATATTAATATTTGAGATATTGGCATCTGAACTAAGAAACTCACCAATGGTAAAGTAAATCATAAAAGAAGCTGCGGCAAGTTATGAGCTAAAAATTTTTGGTTGTTTTGCAAACCTTTTATATTTCATCTAAATAAAATGTTCTCATTTTTCTTAATAATTAGTTCAAGGATAAATGCTGGATAAATTGCTTTATAAAAATATATTATATTAAAACTATATACAAGAGTGGATAAATATAAGTATATGCATAACAGAAATATTATATTCATAAAAATCCTCCATTTTTAAAGGAGAGATTTATAATAATAAATTTAAAAACATTTAAACCTTGTGTAAACGTTTGTGACGGTTCAAGGTACTAACGGTAGCAAAAGTTTTAGCACAATCATTACATTCGTTCCTGTTGTTATCACTGTCATTGGTGTTGTCATTGTCCTTGTTTTTGTTTTTGTTTTTGTTTTTGATTTGGTTGATTTTATCGTTGTCATTGTTTTTGTCTTTATTCTTGCTATTGTTATTATTATTTTTATTTTTGCCATCGTTGTCATCATCAACAGTGTCGTTTTCTGGATGCTTTAAACATTGGTGCTTGTTAAGATAGCCTAACGAGTTGAATACCTTTTCACATCTAGGAACTTTACATTTGAAAATAGTTTTACTCTTATCAGGTTGTAATGAGGCAGAAACGGTAGTAATAGTGGTGGTGTTAAGCGTGTCTGGTATGGTGGGAAGAGATGTTGATGTAGTTGTAACAGCAGTAGTAGCAATAATGTCAATGTCATTGATAGTGGTGGAATTAGATTTTTTTTTTATATATTTTCTCTTTTGTTTTTTTATTGATAATGATGGTGCCGGTTCATCAAGTTTGCCTTTCTTATAGGTTTTATAAGTTTGTTTTTTTTGCACTTGATAATCACTATTATCATCACCATCATCTTTAACATCATTAGGATTTGATCTTATTCTTTCTGTTAATTTTTTAGGAGATTCTTCAATATCTGTAAGATCAGATCCATAAAAGATGTCTTCTGCCGTGTATTTAATGCCATTATTGTTATTGTTATTGTTATTGTTATTGTTATTGTTATTATTTTTATTATTTGGTGATGGTGAGGATGGTGTTAATGGATTATTGCTATTATCAATTCGAATGATTGCGGGTTTATTTCCTGTTTTTTTAAATATAAGATTGAAGGCTGTGTCGAGGAATGGGATTTTTCCATCTTTACGTCTGATTAATGCATCAATCTCCATTAAATATTCTGGATCATCATCTGAAAACACCAATTCATCTACTTCATCATTATTGATTGCCATGTCATTGTTGTAATTATAATCATAATCATCATTATTGTTACTATGTTTATTAATAATACCAGTACTATTGAAGTCAATCATATCATTTGAAACATTGATATTGCTAAAACTAATCATGCTACTGTTGCAGATATCATTAATACTGTTGCTACTACTATTTTCACTACTATCAACAATAGCACTACTATAGATCTCGGTATTGCCAAGGTTGCCATTACCATAACTAAGATTGTCGTTACTACTAATATTACTAACATTACTTATGTTGGTGTTACTTCCATTGTCATTTCTATCAGATGTAATGTTTAAAATACTAGAAATGCTCATCATTTTGATGATGTTATGGAAAAAAAAGGATACTTAATAATTTAAAAGTAAAAAAAAATGAGAATAAATATTTTTTTTTCAAAACTTTTTGTCATTGTTGTAATTATAATCATAATCATCATTATTGTTACTATGTTTATTAATAATACCAGTACTATTGAAGTCAATCATATCATTTGAAACATTGATATTGCTAAAACTAATCATGCTACTGTTGCAGATATCATTAATACTGTTGCTACTACTATTTTCACTACTATCAACAATAGCACTACTATAGATCTCGGTATTGCCAAGGTTGCCATTACCATAACTAAGATTGTCGTTACTACTAATATTACTAACATTACTTATGTTGGTGTTACTTCCATTGTCATTTCTATCAGATGTAATGTTTAAAATACTAGAAATGCTCATCATTTTGATGATGTTATGGAAAAAAAAGGATACTTAATAATTTAAAAGTAAAAAAAAATGAGAATAAATATTTTTTTTTCAAAACTTTTAACGCGTTAAATTCCGCTTATTAAAGAACAATGACAATATTTATATGTGAGAAAAAAGAAATGTGTGTGTGTGTGTATGAAATAATTTTGATGTTATTAAAAAGGTTTGAGATTATTATAAAGTTACACCAAATGTTTAAATTAGTACGACTATGACGCGAAAATTTTATCACCATTATTAAATAAATAAATGATGTATTTGAACGAAGCATTGAATAATTTAAAGGGATTTACGTAAAGAATATATATGGTTCAAAAAATAATTAAATAGTAAATTTATCAAAGATATTCTTTCTCTTGCTGCCACTTTATCAATAAATATGCGTCAAAATTCACTATCTATAACGAGCACTAAGTAAAATCAATTTCTCTTTCCATTATATCGTATACATGAAAAAGGTTTAATCCATTGTGATTTACATAGTGGTAATATACTTGTGCAAGGAGGTAATTGTTATATTACAGATTTAGGATTATGTGGACCAGTTGATGAAAAATCATCAGATAAAGTTTACGGGATTGTATCATATGTTGCACCTGAGCTACTTAGAGGCAAAATGAACACAAAAGAATCAGATATCTATAGTGTTGGGATGTTAATGTGGGAAATATTTGCAGGCAATCCACCATTTGATGATAGGGCTCATAATCATCATTTAATTTTTGATATATGTACAGAAGGTTTACAACCACCAATATTGCCTGGAAAGCCTGATGATTATGTGCAAATGATGCAGAGGTGTTGGGATGCAGATCCATCAAAAAGACCAACCAGTCTAGATCTTTTTATTTTTGCTGATAATAAATTGAAAGAAATTCATGATAATGATTGTAGCAACAGCAGCAGTGGTGGTGGTAGTGGTGGTAGCATTGTTTCACAACATGTACACATATCGCATCCAGGTGCATATCATACAAGTAGAATATTAGATGAAGAAATTTCTAGATCAAAAAGCTTTAAAAGTTATACAAGTAATGATAGCTCATTAATTACTTTTGATTTTTAAATGCTGAAGGTGAATAAAAATTTCATTATTAATTTATTGGAAATTACTATCTATCCATTAATTATTATATACTAATAATACTTTTGATTGATTAATAAACATTAGATACTAGAAAGAATTGATGATTGACTAATTTAATCTCCACTATAAATTTATTTGTTATAATTATTTATATTTTTATTTTTATTTAACATCAGGAAATTAATTTAGCATAAACTTGCATAAATCTTACGATGCCGACGTAATATTGTGTAAATCTTACAGTGCCGACGTAAGTTTTACACTTTTTTATTATTAAACTTACAATTGAAACGTGTAAAATTTTTTTATATTTTCCAGATGTATGTCATGTTGTTGTGGAGGAATTAAGCCTTAAACATCAGGAAAATGGGTACAAATATTATGCATATATAATACGCAATTGCAGAAATTAAGCATATAATATATGTACAATTTGCATACATAAAAAAATACACAATTTGTATGCATATTATATGTTTAATCCCTGCAATTGTGTATTACAGTCGAACCTCGTTATAATGACATATTGGTTTGGCCTCAATGGTCCGTTATAACGAGGTATCCGGTAACCAAGGTAATTGATGATCATCACATGATGTTTTTAAAAATAACTTTTTTATTATTTATTAATTAATATCAACGATAGTAAAATTGTACAACATAATAATAATAATAATTATTATTATTATTATAATATAACTAGTGTTCCATGTTGCAATCCAAAAAAGGAAACAAAATGGTTGTAAAGGTGGTTGCAACCAGTGGTTGCAATCGTTTTTATATGACGCA